AAGTCATTCCCACGAGCGCCTTGGTGCATCATGAACGAGAGTTGCTGAGCGTGCGAACCGATTTGGCAGAGTCGCCCCTCCCACCTCGCTTCTAAAGCGGATCCGACTTTGCCGAGCGGACGACTGTCTTTAGACCTTGCGCGCGGGACCGTAAAAGCACGCGCTGCCTTGCCGGAGCAGGGTTTGCTTGTCTGAAGGGCACATTTCATCACTGTTGTGAGCGCAAAGGTAGTGTAGTCAGGAGTGGAAGACTTCGTGACTACACCTGAGTCTCGCCTCACGTCTCGGGCTTTCGGACACAGCACAGACTCTTCTGAAGTCGATTTATTTTGATCCTCGTGTTTGTGCCAGCGGGAGAAAACTCACGTGCGTGCGCTGCACGGTCCATCAGACCCGCCGCACGTTTCTTCCATCCGCGGGGAACCGGAGGCTTGTCAGGAGCAAATCATGCGCACAGGCAGACATCATGAGCGAGCGCGTGCAATGCATCTGCAACATGCACACACGCGACAACACCGGATGGTTGGGGCAGACAGGCGTTCACTCTGTGCCATCCGTGGCTTTTGTCTCCTCTTCAGACCACCACTTCGCACTTGTGGCTGCAATTTCCGACAGAGACGCTCCCTCTCTTCCCGTGGCAAGGCTGGCCCTCCAGACCGCGCAGCCAGCACGCCTCAAAGTTCTGCCGTCATGCGTTCCGTGGCTCGACTGGTCCATCGCGCTTTCCGGAGAGTGGAGTCGTGCGCAGAATGGTTGACAGGAGCAGCTGGTCCGCTATTTGTAGCAATATGCACCGTTTTGGTCAGCATAGGAGCCTGGACCTTCTTCACCACCTCTTTCAGCAGCGTCATTGCGCCCCTCCCTCGACCCATACACGAGCTGCTGCACACGCGCAACCCCATCCACTTTGCCCTTGGTCTTGGACCTGCAATCCTTCAAGCTCCTTTGGATGCGCTGAGGTACCTCTCTGCGTCGACTGCGTGCGCATACATCATGTCCAGCATCGTCATCCACTACATTTTGGCTGTGCGAGTCCCGCCCGGAAGCGTGACACGTGGACTCGGACCTGGCATTCCTGAACGTCGAGTCGGCCCTGGCTCAACACTCTGGTGGCTGGAGCGAAGACGCAGAGCTGCTCGAGCATCGCGAGGTGGAGCGTCGGCTGCGGGAGTGGATCCAGTGTCTGGCCATGAAGTCAGAGACGATGGCCTGCTGTATGCAGACGACGAGCAAGTGGACGCTGCTGCAGAGGGAGAGGACCTGTGGGCCCATGTTCGCATGTGCCACAAGTGCCCCAAAGTGCCGCTCTATCTTGTCTTGTGCGCACTGCCTCCTGAACTGAGAGCAGTGGAACGAGAACGAAGGGCTGGTGCGGCTGGCTCGCAGGGAGGAAGAAGAGCGCGGAGGATGGATAGGGATGCTGCTGCGCAATCTCAGCTACCTCTGGCAGCGCGAGGCGAGAGCGAAGATGATGTTCGGGCTTGGTTGGGCGGCGAAGCGGATAAGCTCGTGC